TGGAGTCTCAGCTTCAGGATCTGTCCTTCCAGATCAGAACTGATTTCCTTAAGAATGGATAGGTTTGATCTTCTTGCAGTCCATGGGACTCTCAAGAGTCTCCTCCAGCACCATAATTCAAAAGTATTAATTCTTCAGCAATCAGCCTTCTTTATGGTCCAGCTCTCACTTCCATACATCACTACTGGGAAAACCATAGCTTTAAGGGGTTGAGGGGGTTAGCCCCCTCAATGTTCAGATGGCATTCGGCTCCACTCCCTGGCTCATCGAGATGTCAGGCATATGTTGTCAGGACATTGCGTTGGGCCCATTCAATCATCTTGAGAAGATGGCACCTCTGCCCTGAACTGTGTTAATGTCTCTTTCTTGCCTGGAAGAGAGGTGTGTTTGTGGGGGTTGGTAACTATGAGGATAAATGTGAGTATACTTGTAAGGAGGTTAGGCCCAAGCTAAAGGAGAGATGACCTGTTGTATATAGTGTGAGATGTGATCCATGAAAGGCAGTCAAGTACAACATTCATTTTAATGCTAGAGAAGACATGCGAGGGAATGTTTCGTCCAGCCAGTCGAAACTTCCTGTTCCTCCTGGCTGGAGCATCTTCCTTTTGCATGTGATAGAAGGTGGGCATAACCTAACCTGTCCAGGTAACAGAAGGACGAGTCACACAGCACACCTCTCTCTCTTTGCCTTCCTTCTTCATTTGACCAGCTTCTCACTTGGACTGCTCTGCTAGCTCAGCTAGCAGAAGCACTAGGATTATTCCCCCATATGGGGTAGATCCACATGTACATATTTGTAACTAAGTCTGCCTTCAGGGGTCCACCTGTGAACTGATGTAAGTAAACTTCTTTTATTGACTTTGAATAAGATTGTGGCATCTTTATTCTTTTAAAAGGGATTAAAAGGAATTTACCAGGAACGTACAATTCAATCTGAGACAGATTGAATTGTATAATAGTAAGAAGCTCACATGAGCTTGCAACCAGCTATCTGCTGTGCGTAAATGGGGAATGTAATTCTGCTAAGTAAAGGAACTTGCTAGCCCAAGTTAGGAAGGATATTAATAAACAATATATCCTCTCCTGCCACCCTGAACATTCCCACGTATAGTACTATAATAAGCATATTTCTTCTTCAACTCCTCTGATCTGCTCATCATATAAAAAGAGAGCAGGACAGTAGTCTTCTATACAAGGCTTAATAATCATTTCCACTTAACTGCCCACTTTTGCCTCTGGCCATAGCCAACACTGCCATAAGCACCTTGAGGTGCTCTTGGCTCTACCCAGCCCAGTGCTTTGTCTACTTTTAATAGTGCCCCCCCCTTTTATTAGCTGCTGCCATCAAAATCAGCTGGGTCTTTGTAGGGAGTAGACAACAAATCTTTGGAGATTGGATTAGACCCCAAAACTGGGTGCCCTGCACCTCTTCTCCTCTCAGTTGCTTAATGCCATATTTGTGCATCTGATTATTCCTGTCTAAGTGTAGAACCTCATGTTTGTCCCTACTGAGACTCGATTTTGTTAGTTTTTGCCCAGTTCTCCAATCTGTGAAGGTCATCTTGAATCCTGGCTCTGTCTTCTGAGGTATTAGCTACCCCTCCCAGTTGGGTGTCATCTGCAAATCCAATGGGTGTCCCTTCAATTTCTGCATCCAAGCCATGCCTAAAGATGTTGAACAACAGCAGGCCCAGGGCAGAACCTTGCAGCACCTGACTTGTCCCCCTTTTCCCCCACTCAAAAATACTAACAGTCTGGGAAGCACCTCCTATTCCTGTACTTTTCCTGAAACAGAATAATCTGAGACGAATTAAATTCAAATTATCCTACTTCTGGAAATAACAATTAGGAGACCATTTGCTTCCCTGAATGCACGACACACTAATTTACCATTGCCACGTCAGTTAACGTGACAGAACATTGCGCAGAACAGCTGACGTGACGGAACGGTGCTCACATATTATTTTCTAGGAAGCAGAGTGACTTTCCATTTTTATTGTTTCCACATTTTAACCAGCCACAGCAAACTCTGAATTAATTTACGGCACTCATAACTGATTAGCATGCTTATTAACATCCACGAGTTAGCTTTCTATCAATCAAATTGTAATTCAGCGGGAACTGCCCTGTTAAATTCAAATTAAAATGTGTGTCGGAGGCACTCGGCTAGCCTCTCTGGTTTCACGGCAGTCCTCTTCCCTCTACCTACCAGCCACAGAAGCTGCATTAAACTGCCGCAATTTTATGGCTCATTAGTGATGAACAATGTTAGCTCACGGCTGGTGGCTCTCGCTCCACAGGTGTACACAGCCATTACAGCTGTCTCGGGGGAGAGAGGGAGGGAGACTGACATGGTGGAATTGCTCCTTGCTTCTGGAGCAGTTAATCGCATCAGTAAATAAGAGGTGTTTCAGCTCACTAATGGGCAAGTCAAGGGGGATAATTTATGACGTGCTGGGCAGAACTGCAGGGCACGGTGCTCCCTGGGAAATGATGGCAGGATCATGCTTAAAACAACATTAGTGCATAAGCAGGATCTTGACCCTGTTTTTGGTCTGTGCACAGCATAGATTATTAAATGCACTTTGCATTTAATTGATAGATTTAGGAACTCCGCTAATGCAGGGGCGGGTAGCATGCAACCATTTCCTTTTGTACTGCTAGGGTCTCATAGCAGTGAGATGTTGCCCACATCTTCACTGCATCCAACACCAGATATGGGGCTGCAACCAGAGACCCCCAGCTAAGGCAGGGATGCTTGAGGAATTCATGCTTTGCTAATTCCTTTCCAAAATGATTTTGCAACAACTACATAATAAGGACTGGTTTGGCAATAAAATGCATGCAAATCACTTGGAGCAGGTGTTCCAAATGTGTGTGTGTGTGAAAACGTACACACATAAAGGCACTAAGAATTCAGCAATATAAGGCAAACAGTGGCTGGTTAAAATCACCCGAAGGAGTACATGAACATAAGCAAACTTTTCAGACTATTCCAGGGAGGAAGCTGGGTCCGCTGACTCCCATAAGAACAATAGAGAAGAGGTTATTCTCACTTTCCCTGAGTGGGGAGAGTTCTACAACCAGGGTGATGCTCCTGAGAAGACTCTGCACCACATCCCCACCAATTGCACTTCTCGTGGTGGCGGATCACAGAGCAGGATCTCCAAAGATGTTTTCAGTTAATGGACAAGTTCATGCAGGAGAATGCGAGTCTTTCAAATACCTCGGTCCAAAGCCAAGGGATTTGTAAGTAATAATCCAGCACATTAAATTGGACCCAGGAACAAATCAGAGGCTTGTGCAAATTAAACAAGACCGATAGCCAAAAAAGCAGACCCTAGAAATTATTATGGCAACAGCATTTTGCTGTAGCTGTAGCTTCAAAACACTTTTCAAGGTCAGACCCATGTAGAATGTGGTCTACATGGCATGTCTAATTTTGGTCAAATCTGCTTTCTACAGGAAGGAATGCTCAGCCAAAGTTGAGCAAAGGACTCCTATGAACCTAGGAGCAGTGCTAAATCCAAAGGAACTCCCTAACAGTGAACTTGGCCATTCAGTGGAAGTGCAACCTTGTCCAGAGAAGGATGGACTCTGAAACCTCAGTCAGCACTTCTACTGACCTGTAGTCCTTCAGTCTGGGATTTAAGAATGAATGTGTTAGTCCACACTGAGTCCATCACTATGCTCAGGCCCAATTCACAAGGTGTGGAATCCACCAAGTTTCTCATATTGCTGTCTTCCCCATTTTGAACTACTAGACAGGTGAGAGTGAAGAAACTTCTACTCCATTTATCCACGGTCTGACCAGGCTGTTGTTGGATTTTTAAAAGTAACGAAAGCAGAACAAAAACAAATTATCTGTAAAAGTCAGTATGAGCAAAAATATCACCCCTCTCTCCCAAAGCCAGTCCTAGACTATGCAAGGGAAGAATCTTATTTCCATCAATTTAGTCAGAAGAAACAGATGGGACTATACAAGAAAACATTCAGTAATGGATATCATGGTAAGATTTAAATTTAACAAGCTTTAGTGGAGGAAACACCGCAGTGAGGCATTAAGGACTAACAGGGAGCTAGTTAAAAGTTTGGGGGTGCAAGGGGAGAGAGACATTACTATTCACTACTAAAGCTGACCCTGGAGAGTTATATAAAGCACATTCCTTGGAAAACTGAACAGAGCAGAAGAAACATAGGAACAAACATAGGAAGCGTGTATATAATCAGTTCCTGGGTCAAGGAAAAGTACTTGAAGAGTTATAATTTTTTTCTTTATTTTATCATGTTATCATTTTATAAACTGCTTTGGGTGTGTGTGTGTGTGTGTGTGTTACAATCAAGCAGAGTACGAATTTATATAAATAAATGGGAATGTCCTTTGCAGGTGAGTGAGGGGAAGAAGGCTTTGTGGGCCTGTAGCCTAAAGGAGTAAGCAGGGCTTCCTGTCTACGCAGCTTTAAATAAATCTGTTCACATTTGAGTTTACCTGAGTTGCTTGGAGACTGTTGCTCAGAAAAGCAGCTCTGCTGAGCAACAACACTTATATTAAGCCAGATGACTGGTCCATCTATCTCAGTGTTGTCTAGAGTGATTCTGCCATGCTTTCTGTGGATGTTCTGAGTAGTTCAAGTGCCAGGTTTAGAGAGGTGGAAGACAAATGATTCCCACTCATGGCAGAGAGGGCTATTGAGACATACTAGGCATGATCGTGATGCTCAGCATCCACAGTTGGAGGCAGGCGTGCTTCTCAAAAACCAGTTGCTGGAAGAAAACAAGGCTCAAATTCTGATTACAAGTTTCCCAGAGGGTGGCCACTGTGAGAACAGAATACTGGACTAGATGGGACGTTGGCCTGATCCTGCAGGCTCTTTTGATGTTCTTTCTGTCCCCACCTGCCAATCCATTACCTTATAGTTCTCCCACTCGGGACACACAATGGTGTTTATTGTGGAAGGGCATACTGATCTCTCATTATAATTCTTAAATGTTGTTTATAGTGGACATCAGTTCTGACTTCCTTGTTGCAGCCGCCACAGGGGAGACTGCTGGAAAAGCTTCTGAAGCCCTGGTTCAGTTCCTTCTTTCTGATGAATATCTGTGTGAAATTTCAACCGGTCTTAAAAGGCAGGATCCTGATGGAGAAATGCCTCAGCAGTATGCAGCATAATGAAAACCCACAAAATAGTAACACCTTCCCAGGCCTGGCATCAGAATACCACATCTTGGGCAGCTGCCGGAGGTCCAGAACCCCAGCAAATCCCTTTAGCAGAATGCTAAAGAAGTTGAATATTAATTTGGAATTTGTCACTCCATCAGGGCCTTGCAGAGCCAGGCAGAGGCCCGGGCCAGGTAGATAATGTCCCCCCCCCCTTTTTTTTTTTTACCCTGGGGATAACTGGAGTCTTATAAATAAGTAAGTATATAAATACTTTTCACAAAAGTTATGCTGACAAATGATTTTATTTCGAGGCTTGAACTGTATCTGCATATAGAGACAAAATGGAAAATATAGATAAATATGCTGACTGAGGCCCTCTTTGGAATCAGAGGCCTGGGCCAAGTGGCCCATTTGCCCCCCCCCCCCCCCGGTCTGGGCCTGCACTCAGTGCTTCAGAAATGTTATTCTAAAAGTCTTTCTCTTGTTTTATTACAACGTGGGGATCACTTGGAAGCACCCTAGGCCCAAAAGACCCAGGTTTACACAGTTGTCATGGCTACCCTCTTATAGGCAAAGCTGACTCTTTGGACAGAGCACCTGTTTTTCATGCTAAAGGTTGCAGATTCAATCATTGGAATCTCTAGTTAGGCCTGGGAGCGTCCCCTGTCTGAAACCTTGGAGAGCTGCTGCCAGCTTGTGTTGACAATATTGAACTAGGTGGACCAGTAATCTGACTCAGTGGAAGGTGCCTTCCTTCTACTTTTCCAGACCTGGGCAATTTATGCAGAAATGAAATGGTGATGGCCCCGGTGCTTTATGGTCCATTCCAGATAATCTGAAAAGAAGCGCAGCCAGCATTTCCTTGGAGCAGTGCGCATAGTGGTTTGAGGGGCATTCTCCTCAACCGGCTCTGAAGTGATGGCCATGTGGAAAGAAGAGAGCAAAAAGAACCAACAACGGGTGTTACCGACTGATAAAAGAGGCCCAGAGTGCTTTCTTCTATGCTACTAGAGTGAGCAACAGAGTTCACTCTTGGTCGTTTGTTATGCAAATGCAAGAATGCTGAAGGAAAAACGGTTGTTGCTGAAGCCAAGATGGTTTAAGTTCTTTGTGATAATCCAGGGACAGAATTGCATGTACACAAACGAATCCGCCAGACCCTTGAAATCATCTACTCTGAGTGTAGGATTAACAGGGAACCAGGACACCATGCTGTTTTCCCTCTCTTCTCCTTTTCTGGAGCGATATGCATATGCTGTCTGTAGCTGCTGCAGATTGACCTTCCAGTGGGCTCTCTCGGTTTCCAGGCCTCTCCTTTGTCTGTTCCTTGTAGCAGTGATAAAACACTGTGGATACAGGAATTGGGACTTCTAGGATTCTTTGAGTGTTAACCTGTGTCGCCACTTTCTGCTTTGTAAGCCTGTAAAAAAACTAGAGGGGACATAGGTAGTCTCACGGCTGACACCATGTAATGTTAACAGAGAATCAAGACATGCATGTCAGGAGGTAGAGGTAAAATGTAACTAAAGTTAACTAAATGTAACTTGCAAAACAGCCTCCTTCCACAGCACCCATTGGCTCTTGTGCTTATACTACTAACACCACACTAACCAGCTGTGGTTTTGTGTTCCTCCATCACATAGAAACAAACTCCTAGGGACCAAGTTCCCTTTGGCACTCCCCAATAAAGTACATGAGGGGGCCACCCCCCACAAAGTGCCATTCAAATGGTGTGTGCACTGCGTCTTGTGATTGATTATGTGGGGTGCTGCTTACCTGCCCCCCCCCATATTTCAAGTTGGCACCCCTGCCCCATCATTTGAAGTTCAGGAATGAAGCACCCAGGCTTTTCTTTGCACCCTAAAGGCAGTGGAGCGCCCTGCTGATGGAACTCAACCTAAATGCATTATAGCGCATTTTTTGACAAGCAGCTAAGACTTTGATTCTTTCTGTTGCCTAACTTTAAGGATGTCTATAACATTGTAAAGTAGCAGTTTCATTTTCTACTGCATTGTGTTTTGCGCTTTCTTTCTTTTTTTTAAGTGTTAGCTACAATGTCTATGCTCTGCTTCTGAATAAAGGTAAAGGACTCCTGACCATTAGGTCCAGTCGTGGCCGACTCTAGGGTTGCAGCGCTCATCTTGCTTTATTGGCCAAGGGAGCCAGAGTACAGCTTCCGGATCATGTAGCCAGCATGACTAAGCCGCTTCTGGCGAACCAGAGCAGCACACGGAAACGCCGTTTACCTTTCTGCCGGAGAGGTACCTATTTATCTACTTGCACTTTGATGTGCTTTCGAACTGCTAGGTTGGAAGGAGCAGGGACCGAACAACGGGAGCTCACCCCGTCGCGGGGATTTGAACTGCCGACCTTCTGATCAGCAAGTCCTAGGCTCTGTGGTTTAACCCACAGCGCCACCCACGTCCCTGAATAGCCATTGCTAAAAATGGCAATTGTTCTTTGTTGCTTTTATAGTGAACAGCTTTTCATCGTTTGTACACTTTTCTCGTTTTTTGGTTGTAACTGTTTTATTCGTTTTGCAATTGCCTTTGGTAAAGGCAGGTAAGAAATCCAATACAAATAAAATAAATAGTCCAGTTGTAGAGTGCAAGCCTTCAAGCCCCTGGTTCAATCTTTGCATCTCCAGGTGGGGTTGAACCCCTGGAGGACCACTGCCTGTCTGTGCAGACAATACTGAACTAGATGGACCATTGGCCTTTCTCAGTAGAAGGCATCTCCCTGTGTTCCATGGTGCAGAGTGCAATGCACTCTCTAAGCTTTTAAATATACCGTTTCCACATGGCCTTCCTATGAATTCTGACTGACAGCTTCCACTGATCTTTGCAGAAAACAAGAAACCAGTTCAGCAGGATTGTTATTAGTTGTGCCAAGTGTTACTTTAAAAAAAAAGAAAAGAAAAGAAAATCAACCCAGCAACTATGAAAAATAGTCTAGGGCAGCCAACTGTGGTTTCCATGTCACTGAAACTTTAGGGAAAGTTTCCCTTTCTTCCCCTGCTGATTTTGTATTTTAATGATAGTTGCCTTTTGCAGTGATGACATTTGCATTTTCTAATGTGAAATAATGAGGGGAAAGGGAGATGGGAGATGAACTGGCTGCCTCTCACCTTCCTCTCCGGAGTGCAAGGGCCAAGCACATTCCTCGCCATCTGTTTAATTCCATCTCCTGATGCTTGTAAAGAACCTGGCGGCATCAGGCAGATGGAGAAAACCGGCAGGAGCCATCCTTGACTTGTAACAGCCGCCTAATTTGTTCACCTTGCCAGGAAAGTCCCCAGTGGTCAGATATTTCATATTTAGGGAGAGCTATTAAAAGAGCTCAAGCGAAGCAAGTTCTTCCCAGCATATGTGTGCGAGAGGTGAAGGCTCGGGATACTGCCTGGCTTGAAACTGCAACAAAGCTTCCCAGAGCTGCTTAGCAGAATGTAAGAGCCATCATTGCTGACCTTACCTGGAAGGGCAGTATTGAATCCATTTTAGTGCGAAGCAGGTTTCTTATCAGCAAGTGCCATCTGCTATGGAATTTATTTATCACTCCTCAAAGCACTGAAGAAGACGGAATTAATGGAAAAGGCTTTTCTCTCTATATTTCAACAGTTGATTTGTCTGGCAGCCAAGAGCTTAATGTGGTTTAAGTATATAGCTCATAGGTATGCAGAGGCTTACTAAGTGGTGTTTATGCACTCTGGCTTTCATAATGTGTATTGAGAGATGAACCTGTTCAGGACACGCATAAGCACTAATTACAGGTAGGTAGCCGTGTTGGTCTGCCATAGTCAAAACAAAATTAAAAAAAAATTCCTTCCAGTAGCACCTTAGAGACCAACTAAGTTTGTTATTGGTATGAGCTTTCGTGTGAGAATTTCTATGAACAATGCCTGTTCCTCTGGCACAAGGGTGGGGAACCTGTGATGTTGCTGGACTACAGCTCCCATCATCTCTGGCCATGTGCCACACAGATTGGGACTGAGGGGAATTGTAGTCTAAGAACATCTGGAGGGCCGCAAGGTCCCTCATCCTTGATTCTATTGCAAGGGTGGGAAATCTGTGGCCTTCCTGATGTTAGAGACATGACCCCTTCATAGCCATACTGAGACTGAGGGAGTACATTATTCTGAGTGGCTGCAGTTCCTAGGATGCTCTTTAAATCATACTGCAGTGTTTTAAAAATAGCCGTGATTTAAGTGGGGCATGTTTAATCAACAGTGGGATGGAGAGCTTTGAATTCTGGCGTACAAGTGAAGCAGGGAGGTTTTGCTCCTTTTGAGGACTTTGGTAGGAGCTGATGATGGGGCTTTGGAAACATGGTCCCTCAAATCTAATGGGAACGTATAAAAGTATCTCAACTTTTTGACAATTGTGAAAGTGCTGTGAATTGGCATTTAGATATCCAGTTTTGGAAGGGATCCAGTGCATAACCACCCACTTCTATGTATCTTCTAAGGCAAGATATGACCTAATTAAAGTTTCCATGGTGGATGCATTTCCTTGATAACATTCTGAACCACAGGGCATTTCTTAAAACAATTTTTGCTGTTCATTTTCTTTTCTTTTTTTTAATGATATTTATTAAGAATTTTAGAATTACAAAAAAAAACAAAAAAAAGAAAGAGAGAAAAAACAAAAGAAAAACAAACCAAAATCCAACAATACAAATTGATAAAAATCAAAATCAAAAAATAACACAACACAATCAAAAGACAAAAATAAGCCACAAACATTTTAAAAACAAATCCAATATTCTCAAATCCTTAACTGTCATTACCTTCTTTCTTTGACCTCCTCACTCCTCCCTTTTTTTGTATCCTAGTTGTTAATTGTCACAGCAAATCCTTTCCATTTTTCATAATATTCTGTCATTACATTACATTAATCTATTTTAATCTTATCTTACTATAAAAGACCTTAAAACTTGAAACTTAGATCTTATTTATACCAATTTCTCATAACCATAATATTCTTACATAATTCTTTAAACATTTTTACTAA